TGTCATCTTGACTGGCTGAGGTCTCGCCACACTGTGACACTTCTTCATTAAATCTGTTTTCCAGAAAGGCAGGTGCCCATAGGAAAGATGTTTCAGCAGGGATGTTCTTTATCTTTTTCTTTTTTTTTCCAGTGATTTTTTGCTATAGGGCATGTGTGCTCTAAAGAGACTGACAGGGAGCAAGAACGTGAGAAGTCATCCCCTAAGGGAAATGGCCACACCACAGTCCATTCTCCATTGTTCTCCTCTCGGGACTTTGGGCATGCATGCACGTGTACCCCTTGTGACTTTCAAGCCTCTGGGTTCAGGACTTGAACTGCAGTCGGCCAAGTGGGAGTCCAGTGCCTTAACCACTACGCTGCCTGCTGGCCCCAGGGCATCTTAGTTCAATCAACGTGGAATTTTTTGGATAGTGCCTAGACATTTTTACTTTCTTTGCACTGCTAGTTTTGTGCCTAAATTCTATAAAAATATTGGGTTAATATTGTTGGCCGTTGCGCAGTTCTGTATAACTGATCACTTGTTTGTTAACTGATTTAACTAAAACCTGAGCAGACTGCTATGTGCCAGGCTTTGTGTTTTCACTTAAATGACTATTTAACGTTTACAGCAGTGGTGTGCAGTGTGTATCATCTGCACTTAATGAAGAAGCAGAGTCCCAGAGATAACTGAATCTAAGATTATTTTTTAAAAAGCAAGCAGTACATTGAAACAAACAGAAAAATGTTAATCTTGTTATAATAATTTAAAAAATATAAGTTCAAACCACAAAGTATCACTTTTTCACCTTTTTTAAAAAATTAAAATATACAATGCTGCAAAAAATATGTTAAAATAATACTTTAAATATTTTTGATAAAACTTAAATTGTCTTAGAGATTATTGTCTCAAAACGTATTATTAATTTGCAGATAAATAATTTTTCCCAGATTGCCCCCTCTCAGGGATTAAACCAAAATACAGTTTAAAAAAATAAGGACATGCGTATGTTTTATATGTGATAGTAGAAAACTGGAAGCTACAGCAATGTTCAGATACAGTAGTGTTGCAGTCAAATTAAGAAATAACAGGACATCCAGACATGGCCACATCATTGGAGTTTTATTGCCAACAGCTTATGAGAAGACTCATGTCCTTCAAAGACCCTGCAGCCCTGAGTGAAAGGAGAGGGGTGCTTGTGCAGGCAAAAGCCACAGTCATTTCCGGGTTGACATGGCGATTACTATGGAAAATGAGGAGGGAGTGGAGAGGAAAGGGAATGAGGTTCCTGTGGGAAAGCTGTTACAGAAGCTGAATCAAGCAGGTCAATAATGCACAAGGGCCCTCTCCAGACCTTTGTTTAATGGTCTCCATGGCTCGGCTCTGGGCAGGAGTCTGGTGATTGGTGGATACATTGCTATGGAGCATCTCAACGAAAAGGTTTCAGACTTGAGACCAGCAGTTGGTATAATGGTTATGTCACTGTACTCCCACGTAGTCGACCGTGGTTCGAGTCCCA